CCAGGAATGAGGGCACCCCTCAGGCTCCTCTGCTCCAAGCTCAAGAGCCCCAGCTCCCTCAGCCGCTCCTCAGCAGGAGATGCTCCACTCCCTCCAGCATCTCATCTTTGTGGCCCTGCTGGACTCTTTCCAGCAGTTCCTGTCCTTCTTGACCTGAGGGCCCAGCACTGGACACAAGATTGCAGCTGTGGTGTGAGCAGGGCAGAGCAGAGGGGCAGGAGAACCTCTCTGCCCTACAACCACCCCTTCTCATCCACCCCAGGATGGCGTTGGCCTTCTTGGCTCAAGGGCACATTGCTGGCTCATGGTCATCCTGCTGTCCACCAGCACCCCCAGGTCCTTTTCTGCCTGGCAGCTCCAGCCACTCATCCCCAAGCCTAAAGACCTTCCTAAAACATTTCCAAGCTGGTGAGGTGTTTACTTCAGCTTTGGGAGCATATGAGCTCCTTTGTGCATGGATCTTCATGGAAACTGCATTATTCCTTCCTTTGGAGGGGATAACATGGCAGGGGACAGCCTGGCACCCCACCATCAAGAGCACTGCATACCCTGCTCCTCTAGATCTCCAGCTCAGCTGCAGCTGATTTTCCATCCTGAAAAACCCAAGAACCACTCCTCTACACCTCAGGAGGACGCCCTGGTGCAGATGACTCCATCCTATGACAGCACGTGCTCCTCAGAGGACGGTGAAGTCACCCCATGAATGGCGCTGTCTGTCTACGGCAGCCAGCACCGTGAATAGTCCCCTTGTACCCAGCATCTCAGCACCCTCCCTGTAACAGGCACAAAGTCCTCTCTGTAACTCTTCCTTATCAAGCACACCCAGTGCTTCATCCTCACCACCCTCTAAGCTGGTGTCCACTGCTGCCCCTACCCTCTCACGCAACCTCCACATCCCACCCGCAGGGCTGAGAGCTATTTCATACAAACACAGAATCCTTATGGTTGGAAAAGACCTTTAAGATCATCAAGTCCAACTGTTATCTAACTCTGCAATGCCCACTTCTAAACCATGGCCCTGAGCACCATATCTAGATGGCTTTTCAATACATCCAAGGATGGTGACTCCACCACTGCCCTGGGCAGCCTGCGCCAGGCTTTGATAACCCTTTCAGTGCAGGAGTTTTTCCTAATGTCTGACCTAAACCTCCCTGGCAAAACTTGATGCCATTTCCTTTTGTCCTATGGGTTGTAACTTGAGAGAAGAGACCCACACCCACCTCACTGCACCCTCCTTTCAGGTACTTGTAGAGAATGATAAGGTCTCCCCTCAGCCTCCTTTTCTTCAGAATAAACAACCCCAAGTCCCTCAGCTGCTCCTCATAAGGCTTCTCCAGACTCCTCACCAGATTTATTACCTGCTGATGGAAGCTCTCCATAAACCCGGGGAGATGCAAGGGCATACTGTTATTTTAACCACCTTTTTTGTTTTATAGCAACTACTCTCTTTCCTATATAGTATTTGCCACACTATGTGACAAGGAGCTTCATGAAGGAGGAGATGCAGTTTGCCGGCTGTCTGAGACACCTCAGCATTTGCAAAGTAAATGGATGTTGGAGAAAGCTCAGGAGAAGAGGACACCAATAGCACAATATGTTATGCTAGGAGCAATTCTTCAAATTGCAAATGCTTTGAAGGCTCAGAGAAGCCAAAACCTTGTGGAGCCATCAGAAATGGTCCATAGGTGACAACCCCAAGTCTTCATTTATTACCAGTGCACAGATCCTAGCAGTGCACTTAAAACTGGCAGCAACAAATATCTCTCATCACGTCTGACAATCATTGCCAGCAGTGCTACAGCTTACATATGTGCTTATAGGTATATATTGAAATGATCCACCTAAAAAAGAATCTGTAAAAAAGATAACTGCATTGGGAAATACATCAACACAGATGAAGATCTCTCAGAAACAACCATATCGAAATTTGACAAGGCAGGAAACAGAATGGGTAAGAGATAGCAAGGGCTTGTTTGGCCATTGCCAAGGATGAGTTCAAATTCTCACTCGGGGTGGCCATGGCCCGTCTCTTGTATTTATTTGGGCGCATCCACATCAGAAAAAGAAAACCGGCTCTTTAGGAAACCTCCCAACTCATGGAAAAATCTGATCCTGACCATTTCTGACCACAGCCTGACAGTATGGACACGGTCCCCAGAGCTGCGAGACCAAAAGCACTGAGCCTAGGAGGTTCTAGGAATTAATTAAGATTAATTAACACGCTGTCAGAACAGCTGCTGGGATTTCGAAGGTTGGATGTTGTCCTCCTTGGCCTTGTGGAAAGGGGGAATCAAAGCTGAAGCTGGAAAGCAAGCCCAAACCCCTCATTGAAATGAGAGGATGGTTGAGGTCCTTGTTTTAAGGGGCACAGGGGTGGCCCCAGGGGAGCAATATGGGCTCACTGCCCCTCTCTGAGCTACGGGAATTGCACAAAGAGACAAAAACAGGATTTTGAGGAACTCAAGGCAATGTTTTCCCAAGTATTTTCCCTCCCAGAAGAACTTTTTAGAATTTAGGACTCTCCCTTAATTAGCCCAGTTCTGTGTAATTGCTTCCAGGAGCGGCTCCCTCCCCTCCTGCCTGGCCTAAATATCCCTCCTGGTATGAAGAAAACAGTTCTTTCAGGTCAAATTATTTTTATTTTGCTTATGGTACGGGTTTCAGGCCTATGAACACATGTGGTAACCAAGCAAAAAATTAACTGATGCTGATCCGGCACCCCAGGCTTGGTTCCCAGCTCTGCCATTAGTGCCCAGGGACTCACAGCATGCTCTGTGCCTCAGTTTCCCCATCTGCAAATACTCTGAGGTCTACTGGAAAGCCCAGTCTGGACATTTTGGCTTTCCTTTGCTTTGAATCACGACGACCGCTGCGCACAACCCATCTCCACCCCGTATAACACCACACCAGAGGACACGTGCAGCCCTGCTGTTATTTCAGCTCTCCCTCTGGAAACATCTATTTTCCAGTCACGCTCTTAGAAAGGCTTTAAAAGTAGCCTGGAATAATACCCAAACCTGCAGGGTCTTGCCAAGCACCCTTACTCCCGTCTCCCACTGCCCATGAGGCGTTAACTGGTTTTCACAGCGTTCCCAGCCCAGGGAGGGCTCTGACCGTGCCCCACGCCCCACCAAAGGCAAGAATGCTCACCATAACTTGCCTAATCCTGCTCGTCCCTCTATGCCAGTCCTCCCACGCACAGAGCCGCCTGCCAGGGCTGCTTTTCATAACTCAACAGTTACCGAAACCCTGGCCCTGGATCCCGGCTGTGCAGTTCCTCGGTGACGGGGTTGGTGCTGGCACCACCGGGTGTTCAGCACCCAGCCTGGACCGGTGGGCGAGGAGGGGGTGCCCATCACTGTCACTGCCATTAGCACATACACGCCACCATTGGATGTATGAGTGATCAGATTTTTGTCATCCTTGGGTCACCTGCCCATGCCAAAGCCATGCTATCCAAATTATGAATGTGTGCCCGGGCTCAGCATCCATCGGTGGGAAAGGGAAGCTCCCCTTGACTCCCTGGTACCTCTCTGACCAAGCCCTCTGATTCCCAGCCAACAAACCTTCCCCCTTGGTCTGATGCAATGGAGAAGCTAGCTCTGGCCCATGGCACCCTCAGAGGGCAGGGAAGGTCCCCAGGATCCCACTTGGCGAAATATTTTGGTCAATTTGCCATTTTTTGGTAGATCTGGGTTATGCAAAGCTCATTAGATAGGCTTAGCCTAAGTGCTGAGGCACTCAGCTGGTCCCGCTGGGTGAAGCGATGAGCGGCTGCTTGTGCAGACAGAATTAGGAAGGGGCAATTGGGCTACTCCAACCTGTGGCCAGTAAAATACAATAACATGTGTAAGTTGTTTTTACTGCCCGTCCAGCTTATTAGCTAATAAAATAAGCTCAGCGTATTAAACATTGCTGGCATGGTTTATCAAAAGATGAGAGCAATCCTTGTGTTTTACCCCTGCTATCGCCCAAATCTGTGATTCCCACACACTCTTTATCCTCTAAGCTCCTCTAGAGGAGGAAAAACCAAGCTGTTCCTCCAACATTACCACACTCCTTCAAACACCCTCTGCACTGCCAAGCATGAAACGCCATCAAATACTGCGTTCTTGTAAGAGGGGGAAAACGCATGCACAGCCCCACGGCTGTTTGTCCATCCCACGCCATGAATTGCTGCATTGAACTGAAACCACAGGAGAAGTTTTTTGGCTGGCAGAAGGTGCCAGCTCCTCCCTGGGAGGAAGCCAGGGCAAAGCCCCTGCACCCACAATGGGAGCCCTGCGATCTTCAACACATCCCTATCTCAGAGCTGGAGGTGTCGTTTGTTTTATGACCGTAAACTACTGATGTGGGAAATGTTGAGTCATAAAACTGCAGGAAAAGGGATTTTATGAGCGTGAAATGGAAACGCTGCTCATGCTGTCCTTCGGTGCAGCCTCTCACTCAAGTCCACTCCCTTGGAGGACTGGGGGGCAAAATCCTCCCCGAATCGCGCTCCAGGTCTGTTATCTGTGTAGCAGATTGAAGAGGGAGGCTGTGCTCTGTGTTTGCAACTGTAAATGAAACAAGATAACATCTCCAGAGTGGAAAATTACCCAGGCTAAGAGCAGGTAAAGCCCATAGCAGTATGAATTTGGGAAGGTTGTGGGCCTCGGGGTGCTGCCTTCACCCCCTCACAGCAGGCTGGGGGCTCCTCTCTCCTCAACTCAAAAATGGGGGGGTTTAATGTTTTCCTGCTTGCAACGCATACCAGGAGGAAACAGCGACACAGTGAACTCGGTGCACAAAAATCAGCGCAGAACAGAAATGTGGGAATTCATTAAAGAAACCCATTTGGAGGGGAACAGGTTTTCTTCTCGGGCAGAAGGATGGCTCTCCACACAACACCTCTGTGCCACAGACCCACCTCGGGAGGACGCAACAGGATTTTTAGCAAAGCAAAAAGCATCACCCCGGTGCTGCGCCCCGGCTGCAGGGACGGCACCACCGCCTCTTACCTGGGTCATCTTGGCAAGGTCCAGCGAGGGCCGTTGCTCCTGAACCTCCTCTGGTCTCCGCCGCTTCACCCCCACCTTTTTGTCATTGAGGACGCAGGGCTGCGAGCGGCTTCGGGAGAGCCCCCCGGCCCGGCGCCCCAGCTCCGGCGTAGAGGCAGGGGTGCTGCTTGACGAGGGCGGGCAATGCTCCGACGAGGAGAAGCGGTCGTGCGAACAGGACAGAGACCTCTGCATGTCCACTCGCTCTCCTCCCTGCCCACCAGCGCCCGATTTCCTCGGCTGCCATCCCAGCCGGGGATGCTCGCAGCAGAGCGGGTTGGACCGCGATGGCAGGCTGAAGCTGGAGCTCCTCTGCATGGTGGCGAAGCCGTTGGAGTAGCGCTGCACGCTTCCCCCGCTGTAACACCGCCGTTTCTCCACCGGCGTCCAAACCTTCGAGCCCAAGGGTCTCCAGGAGGTCCCGCAGCTTGACATCTCATCCGAAAAGGAGAGCGAGCGGCACTGCTGGCGCTTGCTGGGGGGGGCGGCAGGGTTGCCATGGGGGTCGCTGAGGCTGAGGTCTTTGATCAGGTTGGTGACGGAGCAGGTGCTGGCCGCCTCCCTGGGCCAGCGCGAGCCCTCCTCGCCCTTGTCCGACAAACAGTCCCAGATGCTGGCGCCCGGCTGCTCGAGCTGGAGAGGACATTTACTGCTGAGATCTCTCCATCTGTCATTTTCTGGTTCAGAAAGGAGAAAAACAACACAAAACCACACACGCGCGGGCATTAGCGTTAATTAATTCCGCGATTCGCTTTCTACGTCCATAAACACAAAAAAAAGAGTAGCATATGGGGCATTTTCCAGTACAAATTAATTAACTCTTGGAATATGGTTTTCCGAGCTGCCAGCAGAGTGGTTGCCGCGGTGTAGATGGAGAGAGACACAAAGTGATAATCGCAGCAGGAGCAAAACTGCTAGAAGAAGATAAAAATGTGCCTTTGAGTATCTGGATTGCACTGGCTAAGGGAAATTCAGCAATACATGAAATGGTACAGCCACTGCCTTATCTCAGTGCTAAATCACGGTTTGTCCTGGGCTCCACCATCAATAATTGCCCAGGAGGTTCACAAAAAGAGCACAAAGCTGTAGCACCGCTGGGGTGAGATGGACAAAACATTCGAGAGGAGGTCAGGGAGAGCAGCTGGGATGGCCCTCACAGAAAGAGGAGTGCACCCTGGGCATCAAGCAGCTTGGCACAGCACGGAAATACCAACCAGGGAAATCAAAAGCCAGGCTGTCCCAAATGCTAAACCAGCATTGCTCCAATGGAGCCTATAAAACTGTATCCCGGCTCTAAGCATCCATCCCAAACTAACCCAAAATATTCTCTGTCTAATGAGAACTTGTCATGGTGGACATAATAAGCTCCGAGATGGTTGACACTGCAACAGATGCATGATAAACCCCCAGCAGTTCTTTGCAAGATGCTGTTCTTAGGTCCCTGTTGTAAGACTCATCGCCTATCTCCCTCCTCAAACCCCAAATCTGGGGCCACCTGGGTGCTGTGTGCAGGTGTCCCCCTGCCCAGTTACCCACACAGAGCTGTGGTACTGGGCACCCACACCCTCCCACTCTCCTGCAGCAACCTGGGCTTAGCATCTCTTCAGGGTTGCCTTGAAACTCCCAGTTGTCCCTAGCACAGCCAAGTGTTTGCATCTCTGTAATAAACATAACGGTGACCTGCTGTATGGTTTTGGGGTCGGCATTGTCCTGGTTTGAGCTAAACAGAACTAATTTTCTATTTAGTGATTTTACTTTTCAGCTCAGCCTCTTCTAAGTGGCTGAACTTGCTGAAAACTAGCAGCATGGTTTTCCCAGACAGTGTGAAGTGATCATCTCAAGGTCAATTGTCTCACCATGGGTGCCGTGTCTATGCCTACGGGGGGGGAAGTGGACCCAAAACTGACCAACAAGGTATTCCATCCCATACACATGATACTTGGTATAAAGCCAAGGGATCATGAGGGTCTCGACCCTTCTTCCATCCTGGAGCCCTTCCAGCTCGAACCCTTCCATCCATCTCAATCCTGCAATGGCTGAGGTCTGAGCAGACCCTGCTGGTTCATCTGCCTCTGATCCTGACCCCGGTGTTCTTGCATCAGTTCCCACTGCTGCTGGGTCCAGTCTGGGACTTTTCCAGTGCCCTGCCCCGCAGAGCCTCTGGTGACGTATCTGTCATTGGTGGAGGATTTTATACTGGTTTTCTGTATATATATTTGTACATATCTGTACATATTTCATTATTTTCCTATTTATATTATTATCCTGTATTATTAGTATCATTGTTTTATTAAACCTGTGAGTTTTATTTTCCAACCCGTAAAGTCTCTCTCCCTTCTTCTCTTTTCTCTTCTCTTCTGGGGAGAGGAGAGGGGTTAACAGAGAGCATCTGGCCAGGATTTAGTGGCTGGGGCCGGCCCTGGCCAGGATTTAGTGGCTGGCCCAGCCCTAAACCATGACAGGCATAAAGGTATTCCTTTTCTCAGACAGGTTTCGCTGCGCATAAAGCACCAAGAAACCCGCACCTCCAAAATCCACGGGCTGAAACGTATAGAGCCACGGGCAGCTCCATGTAGGAAGACACAAACCCATCTACAGCTACGCTGAGGACCGTGTCAAAAGAGGATTGAGGGTGATGATCTCATTCCCACACCCTGGGATTCCCCCGCTGACGATGAAAGAAAAAAAGCAGGCCATCGTCAAGGTGCAGCGGCGCGGGCAAACAGGGCTCTCTGCGGATACGCCGTTGACGCTCAACAGGAAAACCATGGCAGGACAACCCCATCGGCTGCTGCAATGGAAAAAAGTCATCACCCAGCTCTGTTTTTGCCGTCACCCGCTGCAAACAGAGGCAAACGGCGCTAGCTAACCGTCGCTGCGAACTTTCATACGATCATATCTAAATCAGGTGATGTTTTTTAGGGGGTTTTGGGGTTTTTTCCATTCAGGCAACTGAAGGATGAATTCAAAGCCATACCCAGCCTGCAGCTGTAGGTACCGGCCTGACAGAGAAATTGCAGCAGTGCAGAACGCTTCCAACCAAGGCTCGGTTTCAAGTCAGGAGGTCAAATCTGTGGTCCTTTACACCATTTATGGCCAGTTTTCCCATTTCTCCCTGTATCCACCCACCACCATAACAGCCCCAGCCACAAAGAGCCAAGCTCTGTGCTCAGCAACCACAGGGCATTTTAACCACTACCATCCTCATTTCAATAGACACAATGAAAAGTGAGAAATCTGCGCTAAACAATCACACCTCCACTAAGATCTTGATTATTTTTCCCTTCCTCGTTCTGCTGCCAACAGAGAGACTCCTTGGGTCAGGTCAGCAGACAAAAGAAACAGAAATAGCAGCTGATTTTTTGTCATGGCAAGCTGCCACCATCCTCCGGCCGCGAGCCGCCGGGCTGTACTAAAGGCCTTGGCGAGGAGGATCCGGGACACCTTCCTCTTTCGCCCCTGCTTCGGCACAAACAGCTATAAATCTTCCAAACCTTGCAAAAAATAACGGTAATCGCGCCGTTAGCCCCGGCACCAGCTTGGGGTGATTTGCTTTTCCCCTGCGCCGTGGGAGCTGAGGGGCTTTTTTAGCAGGGTAAGGAGGGGACTCTGGCCCCCACAGGTGTCACTGACCAGTCCCAAACTACCAGAAAACGCAGAAAATGGGGTAGGCTAAAGACTGAGGGTGTAACTAAAGGACTCAGAAAAGCTTTACTGAGGAAAAACGGCTGCTTTCTGTTCAATTTTTCAAGACTAAGACTCACATGCTGAGCGCGCAGATAACGATAACTGCAGCGGAGCCATTAATACAGCTGCGCTTAAGCGTGTATTAATTTTCTTTAATTACAAACCTCGACTGGGTTCATCCCGAGGCAGTAATTTGTTCCGGGATAAAACCCACCACAAGAGTCCCTCAGTTCACAAGTGAGCTTCGCTGGAAACCTCTCCTTTGCCTTTCAGAAACCGATCGGAGAATATTTACAACCAGAGCATGGTCCAAGCGTGGCACGAGGGGCTCATCCCCTGGTAAAACAGGTCCTTCTTGGCTGGTAGCATCCTTGGGTGAAATAGTGTCCAACTTTGGGTCACTCGAAGAGCACGGCCAGCAAATTTCCATCGAGAACCGTTTTGATCTGCAAATCTGTATTTCCAGGGTAGGCAACGCAAAGGGACTTTTCTGGCATCTCTTTGGTTGTGAAAGAGCTTTCGGGCTCCCAAGACACAGAGGGGTGTTATTGGCAGTGGGGTGAGGACCTAATCATTGGGTTGGAAAAGACCTTTAACATCATCAAGTCCAACCATAACCTGACCACTACTAAACCATGTCCCTAAGCACCTCATATCCCCTTCTTTTAAATATCTCCAGAGATGGTGACTCCACCACGTCCCTGACCAGCCCCTTCCAGTGCCTGATAACCTTTTCAGTGATGAAATTTATCCAAATATCCAATCTAACCCTCCCGTGGCATAATTTGAGGCCATTTCCTCTCATCCTATTGCTCGTCACTTGGAAGAAGAGACTGACCCCCACCTCACCTGGCCTTGGGACAGTTTGGTGGCAAAGCCACTGACCCCATGGTGGGGAGGAACAGCCCTGCCAGGGATGATTTGGGAAGGAAATGTTGGAGGCTTGGTATTTCCCCCCCTTTCTTATTTTCAGAGAGAAGCCAGAAGCCACAGCCCAGCTCACCCAAGGCCCATCGACAGCACACTCAAACACTATCAGCACCGCTATCTATTCCTAAATTGTAAGAGTAAATTTTAATGACCACATTCATAACCACAGAGAAGGGTGTAAAACCCAAACGCCGACACAAATTTAACTACAGCAACACAAATGTGCTGCTATAATATTTTTACAGTTCCTTTTTATACATAATGCATGATCCTTCTGCTCAAGTTTCCTCTACATTCTTCTCCCGTGAAATAATTTACATTAATACATAATTTATTACGGCAACTTGTAAAGCAATTATGGGTTTCAATCAATTTTTCTTCTCCTTTTTGGCAGATAAATTCTGTTTGGATCCTAACCCAAACATTTCTCTTCACGCGGATGCGCATCCAATTCCTTTTTTCCCTATGTTGTTCAAGTCGAAATCTGGTCTCCTGGACTCTGTGCACAGGGGAAAAGGTTGCCTGCATTTTCCACTGCCCCCTGTTTATGTTCCAGAGACGATTTCTAAATGTGGAACGAATTTAACAGCCATAATTAGCTGATGGCAATGCCACAGAGCCTTCCCATTGCAGAAATAAGGTGAAAATACGATGCACAGAGCTGTGCCTCAGTGGCAAATGAAAACAACAGCCTCCAAACTGACTGCCAGAAAATAAACACACCAGTGGGCTGTGGGCTCCTGGTGCCAATAGCCTGCATGGGGGAGGCAAATTCCCCACCTCAATGGCAAAACGTGCCCTGCTCTTCAAGATGATCCTCTGGTGAGGTCTCCCTGCTCCAGCTACACCTCTCCAGCATTCCCTGCATGGCTTTTTCTCCTTGCAGATTGCCTGAGCTTGAACATGCACAGTGATGCTGTTCTACACTGATGGCTTTCCAAAAAAACCCCTTGAAATTCCAGCTCAGGAGCAGGAGGTGTGCAAGCCCTGCATGGGCGGCGGGCGGGCGCTTTCGGGATGCGATGGAGGGACATCACTCTCCAGCTGGACCCCCTTCTGCCTTCTTGGTTGTCCTCCATCACCCACACGGTGTGAGAAGTGGTTTCCAGGTAAGAGGCGTGCAATGACGAGACCCAAAGCTGCAACCCTCCCAGCACTTCTTGGACCACTGGCATTGCCAAACTGTGCCAGCGGAGGAGCTCTGTCCACCACCCTGCTCTGCCACAGCGGACAAGGACAAATTAGGGGGTGTTTTTCAAGGGGAAAAGCAAATAATGGCTACTTTTAAAAGAGCACTGGCTCCAGGGAAGAGCTGCCTGGCAGAAAGGGACCTGGAGATGTTGATCAACATGCGTCAGCAATGTGCCCAGGTGGCCAAGAAGGCCAATGGCATCCTGGCCTGCATCAGGAATAGTGTGGCCAGCAGGACTAGAGAAGGGCCCAATGTACTCAGCACTGGTGAGGCTGTACCTCACAAGTTACAATCCATAGAAAAAGAGGAAATGGCAGTAAGTTACACCAGGGAGGTTTAGGTTAGACATCAGAAATTTCTACACTGGAAGGGTTATCAAAGCCTGGCACAGGCTGTCCAGGGAAGTGGTGGCATCACCATCCTTGGATATATTTAAAAGCCGTGTAGACATGGTGCTCAAGGACTCGGTTTAGAAGTGGGCATGGTAGAGTTAAGTAATGGTTGGACTTGATGGTCTTAAAGGTCTTTTCCAAGCACAGCGATTCTGTGATTTCACAGGAGATGCATGCAGGACCTGTCCCTGATGGGCTCAAACCCATCCTCCCCTTCCCTTTTACAGCGGTGCATGCACCGCTCTCTGCACCAGGACTCTGATCGGGACAAGCCCCTTGTCACAGCCTCAATAACACCCTGCCTGCAGTTTGCCTCAAAGATGATTTCTTGCTTACACAGAAAACACGGCCATGGCTGTCACCACGCTGCGTTTCTCTTAGAAGGCTGGACCAGCGCTACCTCTGGTGCTACTGATTTAGACATTGAGTGAGGCTTATACACCTGCTAGGGAAAGGCTAGGTGATTCTGCCAATGCCTTGTTAAAATAGCGTAAATCTCCTTCTGCAATCCACCCAAAACCGGAAAAAATTCAATACAGGAAGTCAAAAGTATAATCCCAGTTTTCTAATACGCCGCCTTCTTTCTCTAGCACAGTCATTGGGCACACATCATGGAGACTGGAGGGGAAGAAAATGGAAAAAAGGGGAAAAATCCCGACCCAACAATTAGACAATTCTTATACTCCCAGGTATTTCAAGGGCTCATCAAGAAGGGAAAAAAAGAAATTGCTGAATTTATAGTTTTAAGACATTTCTTCTTTAAACTTCTTCCCAGCAAAGGGCTATATAAAGATAAAAACAATCTTTTTAGTAATATTAATGTCATCACACTGTCAGGAGTATTTCCTATAAATCTAAAAATCAAAAGATTTTTTAGGTCACCTTGACAAGTGGATCTAATGCTGCGTCATCCGACACATCAAGTCTCCACTAACATTTACTCATATATTGAGTTATATTACAATCTATTACAGATTTTCAAATTCTTGCAGTGTTTAGTACCTTATGAGGCATCTACATCTAAAACACATGGTCTTTAGTTGACTCTTTTTTCCCTTTCTTCCCTTTCTTTCTTGGTCACGGTGCATTACACATCCCTTGGGGCTTTGACCCAACTTCTTCCTTCTCCTTCCTGGAGATAAACCCACCTGAGCCAATGCCTGTGGGAAGCTCAGGGATCCTTGCCCTCAAAGGCAACTGGGAAAAGCCTCTGCCAAGACCCTCAGCCTATTCTGGCTAAAAAAAAAACCAAACAGAAAATTCAGCCAGTTTCCCTTCAGCCCCTCAATATCATACATGGACTATGACTCTTTGCCTCCCACTGGCCATGCTGCCAGTCCAAATTTCACTGTGTTTATTTATCTCAGTACTTTCTACCAACAGGAACTTGGCACTTTGACCCGAAATATTCCCCCAGTTTCACGTTCAGTGCCGTTACAACCATGGGACTTCTTTAAAATGTCAAGCAAGACACTGGAACGGTCTGTGATCTCGTGGCTCATATTTGGAAACACTCAATTCCTGAGCAACATTCAGGAAAGATGCCTAGAAGTAAAGCCAAGCCAATCAATCCCCTTGCATGCTGGAGAGCCTGGCTCCTCTTGGCTGGGCATGACGAAGACCATTACAGGACAAGCTGTGGTCAAGGAGATGAGATTTGGTTCCCTCGGAACGAGGGTAATTTGGCAGCCAAGGAAGACCAGCGCAGGACTTCGAGGACACAGAAGGCTTTGTAAGAGCTCTTAACGAGAAGCTGCTTTTCAATTAGGTGGACACTTCATATCTGCTGAAGAGCCTGCCAGGGCCACAGTGCAGGACAAAACCATCTGATTGGGTTTCTTTGTCCCTCACTCGTGTTTGACAGGCAGCAGAAAGGGCTGTCTCTGCCCCTTCTTGACTTTGAAGCCTGTGACTCTCATCTGAAACACTCCCAATGCTTTCCATCTTCCCCCACCTCCCCCAATGACTGGAGTTATCAGAGAGCTTGGGAAATATCTCCCCTCAATGCCTGTGCTCGGCTCCCATTAACGCTAATGAGAGTTGTGTCCATGAAGAAAAGGGGCAGCCTCTTTGTCTGCAAAGTATTGGCTTTCATACCAAGTAGCTTGGCTCAAACTTGACCTACAATTTTAATTGGGTTTTGAGACCTCGCCTAGTGACTGGCTTCCTCCAAAGAGCACAATATAACGGCACATCCTCCACCACTATCAGTTTTCCAGGCCAAGGCACCAATTCCCCATTGATTTTGGTGGCTGCTCAGCATAAAAACAGATAGCAAGCTCTGACATGAAAGGTATTAAACATCCTATACCATGGTTAAAGGCAAAAATAAGAAGTTGTCCTTATTGTTTGAGGCCTGTCCAAACATTTTTGTGCCAAGTGGTAGAACATTTTAGTGATAACACTGATATTCATTACTTGCATAGTGCAAACAGTCAACGAGCCACAGTCATGGGCTGGATACTCACAATCTCAGACCCAAAATGCTTATGGTTTCACTGTATGGGTTACTCTAAAAATAAGCAGATATATCAAAGTACTGAGGAGGGGGAAGGAGATAAGCAATCCACTCAGCAATGGTAACAGGGCAAGACAACAGCTTCTGGGAAGGAGGGTGGAATGGGTGTGATGGCCACCATGGGGTGGTGGGGTGGGTGCCTCTCCATCCCCGCTATAGGGGGCAGGAGGGTGGATGCCTGCCCCAGGGCCTGCAGGGGAGCATTTTTTGGAGAGATCCAGACAGTCAGGACATCTACCTGCCCATCGCTGTAAGGCAGCAGGCGCGAAGGTGGAGTAAATACAGACAGAAGTTGCTGTTACTTACCCATCACGCCACAAGAGAAGAGGGTAGGTCCTTGACTCATCTTTGGAGTGTGCTGCAAACAACCAGAAAAACTATTCACTGTTTGCAGACGTGACCGGGGCACCAGAAACCTCCCTGTCTCTGGTCTCAGCAAAGCCACGCAGCACCCGGCAGGGAGGAGAGCTTCAGGCACCCGAAATGGTCCCATTTCGGCAGGGACCAGGGGACAGACCCTGTCCTCTTCCCTCAGTGAAATCCAATTGAATTTAACACTGCAGAGAGTCGGTGTTGAGGTCTGAGCTCGCAGATCATGGCTCATGCACCTCATCCTTATTCGCTATTACAGGAATAGCTGCAGTGAGGTGTCCAGCTCCGAGACCCAAAACACCAGAGAAACTAAACCAGGAGCTGCAATTCAGTGGTAATTCTTCACTGGGCAAGAAAGCAGCAGCACTGAACCCCATCTGAGGTATCTGAACCCCATCCAAGCCCATTAAGGCCTCCTGTCTAGGTACAAAGCAGCTATTTGGGTTTTTTTTAAACATATAATGTGTTTCTAAGGCAAGGTGTCCTCACCCCAGCACTCTTCCTGAGGAGTCTGCATTTGGATTGTGCTGATTAAAAATAAGGAAAAAATGGGACAATATAATCCCAGTTGGTTTTTACACTCTTATTTCCCCCAAGAATTTTCCTCTTGACAGCGTAAGAGACATCAACAGACTTCTAAAAATGGGCATGGACGGTTTTATATACAACAAATCAATATGTCATCTGCAGCTACACGCCATTTCAGCTATGTCTGCAACAACACACTTTCACATTAATTGTTCTTTTATTATCCCCCAAAATGTCCGCGTTCTGCTTCTGAAGTGTCTCCTGGCAACAGACCGAGGTTTTACATCATCTGAGGGAAGCACCAGCCTGACCTCCTTGTTCATCTGTGCTCCCGTAGCTGTGTTTTATCTGGTATTAGGCCACGACATTGCACCTTCCCTCCTGATCCATGTCTTACACATTGTTTGCTCATATAATAACAATAATAATAATAATAATTAACAACAACAACAACAATAACAATAACAATAATAATAACAATAATAATAATAATATAATGATGATGATGATGTGCCAAATGCTGGGACCTGCCCATACAAAGCCATCCAATAAAAGCATCCCACTTCATACAGAGAATATTGTAAATATTGATTATAGAGGGATGTGGAGGCAGAAAACAACAATGGGGTGCAGATGGGGAGAAGGTAAATAAGGGTTGGTCACCTTCTTTGGAGCATGTGTCACTTTTCGAGGTGAAGTCAGGCTATTTCTACCTGTCAGGCCCCTTCTCATGAAGCAGCAGGTAGAATTAATCAGGAGCCAGCAAGGACAGGCAGATGTCTCCAAAGAGTGGTCAAACTAGAGCAAAAAGTGGGACAAACCCAGGAGAAGCCAGCCCCAGACACCAGCTAATGACTGCAAACGTGTGAGGGAGAGGAACATCTTTAGGTAACTATAATTACCATTTTGGAAGAGTTTTGTCTTAACATCAAACTGGGAACTGAACCAAACGAGCCCATCAGGTGTTGGTAGGTGACACTGCCCTGCTGCTCGGACATCTATTTCCTTTAAGTTTTGCTTTTTGGCCTTTCCCATGAAGTCAATGGAAGAATTCTTGCTTTCTTTGGTGGATCAGACTTCTTGTAAACATCTGCCCTGATTTCACAGCCTGGACCATTCAGCGACTCAAAAGATGTACCCAGGGCTATAATTGCACTATATTGACCCAGCCCTGGAGCTGCAGGAGGTGCTCAACAAACACACGAGGGCAAAGTTTGGCACCTCCACTGCCTGTCATCGAACAACCCGGGTGCCCATCCTTTCCTGTAGTCATAAAAAAACCTATTTCTCACTATTTCTCACCTTTTTCTCCACAGCAATTTCTCCCCCTGCCCCACACACGTCCTGGGGTGCAGCCAGCATCAGATGCTCAGGTTCCCCCTCACCACCCTGAGCAGCAGTGCTGGGAGATGCTGACTTCCCATACTAAAGCAAGGATCTTTTTCTAATATATCCATATCCCTCCATCTCAAATTCCACCCTTTTAAGGCAGGATTGAACGCTGCCTCTGGCTTGAGCGCCTTCTCCTCTGCTGCGCACTGCCAGGGCAGTCTGCCTTTGCCCCGGCACGCTGTGCTATCTAACCCGGTCGGACAGCTCATCATCCTCAGCAAACTTCGGCATTTCTCTTTCTTTTCTGCTCAAAATGCCCATTTATGGCCAGCGCTGCCAGATGCTTCCTGCCATGTTCCTGCACGCCCTTATCTGAGGCTCTCAGTGCTGTCTTTGGGTTTAATTTCTTCTTGGGCTATGACCATCTCTACTGAAGGACAGAGGAGCACACAGCCATGACCAGCCTTGCTCAGGTGGCTCTCCATAATCATCCTCCTGCTCCTCTGCTCCCCATCTTGCTCTGACACCATCCCCAGACAATGCATCACTCCTCATTTCCCAGTACCATCAGCACCCCCAGCCCCACAGCCTCACTCACCCCTTGCAGCATCACGTAGGCTGTTTGCTGCTGCTAATTTGGGGGGGGTTTGGTGTTTGCTCCTTCGGAGTGGTTGGATTTGCACCTCTCCAGGCTGCTATGGACACTGTTAAGCACCACAGCACTGCCCTTTGCCGTCACCCACTTAATCCTGCTCCCCACTTGCTCATGCTCCTATTCATGATGAGCATCTGTTCGCTGTTGGTGAAGCAACTTCTCGCCCATGTTATTCATGGCATTGGTTTTATTTTTCTACTGCTTATTCCATTGCATGCTTACTGAAATTCACATATGCAAAAGCCACAGCACTCCAATCATTCACTAATCACCTGCTCCCTGGATATTAATGTAGCTCAGGAGAAATCAGTGCGATAAACCATCTGAAGATCCAGCCCTGCAGCACAAAAAAACCCCCCTTATTATAAAGCTATGGCAAAGCTCTCAGCAGCAAAAGAGTTTGAACAAAGGTTTCACAAAGCTTACCAGCTCAGTCCTGCATGTTACGGAGTCAGCACCTTTGTTTTCCCGAGTTTTGGTTAAGATCATCACCATGGTAATGCAGCCCTGCCTCGGAGTCCATCAGGGTCCAGGCAAAGGGCACCGGCAGCCAAAATTTGGCGAAGCTCCACTTTCAGTCCATGGTCGCCTGGGAAAGGCTCAGCCCCGCCAGCTCCTTGGGGGGTGCACAGGAACTGCCTCTGAGCGTGGAAAAGTCCCTGGATACAGAGAGAGAGAGGGACAGCATGAAGGGAGAGGGACAGCATGAAGGGACTCGCCTGGGGGGATGGAGGGTGGGCGCAAGGGGCGAGTGCTGCCCAAAAAACATCCCCATGGCGGTTACTCCAGGGGATCTGGAGGGATGGAAGTATTTCAGAAGAAATCAATCAATAAATAGATAAATATAAAGATAAATAAGTAAATAAGCCTCATGGTTGATCTCACCCAAGTGGCAGCAGATGGCCAGCAGAAAAAGCCTCTCCAGCATCACTAAGGCTGTGAAATCCCCTGGATGCCCATATCCCACCCCAGCTACTCCCCAAATCCCAGCCCATGAAGAGCCCCTTTGGGGAAAATACAAGGCCAAGAGTTGGCTGCGAAGAAGGAGAGAGCTCTCTGCCCTGATCCTTACCTATTTCTTTGGTGGTTTTAGGTAGGAAAAGCTAAATACTGCACAATAAGGAGCATATTGTAAAAAACAAGCTGCCAGCCAGGCTCACACAGCACCACATGGACCTGACCACGAGCTCTGCCTCACCTCCTGCCATCCTCTCTGATAAACTTACTCCTGTGTAAAAGCAGACAGATTGCAATTTAAATCTGATTACAGAAATCAGTGTTTTCCCCAAATCACTCCCCTAATCCTGTTTCGCTATTCTGTTGCCCTGCAGTTAATGCGAGCAACCAAACCCGTCACTCGTCTGATCCGCAGAGCATAAAACTCCGATCTCGTAACACGCAGTCAAAACCCAACCGCGATATTGAAAGACAATATTTGAGAATATGCCATAAGTATTAAACCTCATTACGAACCAATACGGCTTCTCTCCCCAACTCGTAAATCATCTTTTCTGTGTTTACTTGGATTAGAGCTTGCGATGGGGTTATGAGTAGCTCATTTGAAGGCCAGCTGGCTGGTAAAGAAAAATCACCTTCTATTATTTTGTGAGGACAAAGTTCATCCAGAGTGCAAAGCCAGGATCGGGAATCAATACATTTTCCAAAGATTTACTGTTCACAAGGGCATGTGGTACAGTGTCCAGCTTCTTACGGGACACTGGTGGGCTTATAAGAAACAAATCTACTGGCAGCTTTGTCATAAACCTCTGGGCAACCCAATGACCAAATGGAAACCATCAAATAGGAAAGCAAAGCATTTCAGATCATCAAAATGAAACATAATTTGCTGAGCCCAGATCACATATCTGTACTATGGGCTTTGTGTGAGGAAAGAGTCACTGTACAGTCATTAATAAGCTCCATGGGAGTTTTACATTTCTGCTTTTTGACAGTCCTTGATAGTCCTAAATACAGCAAATATATTGGTATGCAGCAAAACCTAGAGGTCCTGTTCAGGAGGGACAGCCCCTTACACCAGGCAAGGGGATGCTCCCCAAAAAGGGCTGCATGTAACGGGTGGCAAAGGAAAAGACACACAGCAGTGAGGACCAAATAAGATGAAAACAGCAGTAGGGAGGAAAATAAGCAATGCCGGTGGTGCACTTGCTGCTGAGGCCTCCAGTGTTTCACAGCAAGATACCCAACACCAGTACGGGGCACCCCAGTGCTGGGGGAGCTAAGCCAGGTTTAAAGCCCCCCACCAAGGATGAGGAGGAGGTGGCTTTTTGGGGGGACTTTAACCTTCCCCCAGCACTGGGGGTGCCCTCCTGCTTCCATGCACCATACCATAGACGGCAAAAGCACAGGACAGGGACTAAAACCACCTAAGCTTTGTATTTTTATAAGTCATGACCTGGGTTGTCCCTGATCCCAACACAGACAGCAACACTTGCCGTGGGGCTGGACTCGGG